AAAGGAAAAGAAAGAATTAAAATTTTAAAAGAGGAAAAAACACACACACATAAACAAAGACCAAAAAATTAAGATTCAAGCATAGTGTTTGTGTTTATATTTCAATCTTTAATTTATTTGAAGTTTATTTTGGTGTGAGGCAGGAATCCAACTTTTTTTTTTTTAATTAACTGATTTTAAAATATCACCTTCGTTAAACCATAAACTGCTGTATATACTTCGGTATGCTCTCTTTTTGTTCAATTTTTCTGTTCTTTAATTAGGAGCAGATTATTTGAATTACCATAACTTTAACGTGTTTTACATAATAGTGCAAATCACTCCCCTCTACTTTTGTCCTTTGTTTGTCAGAAATTTTCAGGGGAAGGGAACCGTCCCCTCACATTTATTCTTCCAGTTGTATTTTTAAGATTATTTTTTAAAATCCCCTTTGCCTCTTCTCTCCCCTTTTCCCTCAAACCTATTAAGTTTAAGATTCTAGATTAATTTGTAGAATATTAGCATCTTTAAGATTTGTGGTTAAATTTCTTGTTAAACGTATTCCAGGGTCGTCTTTTATTGTTACAGTCAAGAATAAAATCTCTTTTTCACTTGTGTATTTCTAAATAAAAGTTATTTTTAAGAAGGTGACATTTGGAGAAAAACAGCATTTGAGGTAAGAGTACAGAGGTAGTGGGAGAAGACCCAAGTGTAAAGGTCCATGATCGGGAAGTTTCCCTGCCAAAGAAACTGGTAGAGTGAGCTGGGAGAATAGCAGGAAATGAAATCAGAGAGGGAATAGAGGTGTGACGGTGGTATGGGGCCTTGTGTGAACCATTGCAAAAACTTAAGCTTCTGTTCTTTATGAGATGAGGAACCATTTGGAAGGTTATGTACAGAACACTGGCATTAACTGAGATTTTAAAACAACATTACACTGACTACTATGTCAATGAGTTGGAAGAAGGTGCAAGTGACCATTGAGGACACTGTTGAAGAAACCATGTGAGAAAAGATAATGACTTGGACTAGGGTGATTAAGGTGGTATGAAGTGATTGGATTCTGGATACATTTAGATGGTAGAGCCTAAAGGATTTCATGATTAAATATGGGGTATTGGATGAAAAGAAGGGAGTTTAGGATTTAGGACTCAGCAGCTTAGAAGTTGAGGAAGAACAGGAAGCTCAGTTTTGAACAGTGTTAACTCTCAGATGCCTATCTCAACCATCTAAGTAGAGGGCTGGCCAGTTAGCTCAGTTGGGGTTCAGGTCCCCTTACCGACCAACCACCAAATAAAAAGACCTCTAAGTAGAGATATTGAGTGGGCAGTTAAGTGTACAAGGCTGAACTTATATTCTTAATATTGAATAATTTTGATATTCAGGAATAAATCCCCACTTGATTATGATAGCTGTTTATATTGTCATTTTAAAAAATTCCTCCCCCCCCCCTTTTTTTTTGTCTTTTTTACTGACCGGCAACGGGATCGCAACCCTCGGTGTTGCGCCCGCACCACGCTCAGCCAGTGAGTGGGAACTGGTCTCCACATGAGATCGGAACCCTCGGCGGGAGCGCCGCCGCGCTCCCAAGCAGCGCACTCTCCAGTGCGCCACCGGGCCGGCCCATAAAAATTTATTTCTTTACTGTGGTAAAATATAGTGTTGGGTTTTTTTTGTTTTTAACATAAATGGGTTCATGCAGTTTTGCATCTTGTTTCAACGAAAGTGTGTGTATATGTCTGTATACTTAAGTTTATCTATAAGATGAAATTCTGGGTGTGGATTTGTGCAATGTGTGTATGAATTAAATAATTTTAAAATTCTCCAAGTTGTGTTTCAAAAATGTTCCAAAATGTATCCTTTAATAATATTGTTAAATATATTTTTATATACTCCTAGGTCCTATATAATAACTTGCAGTTTTTAGTTCAAAAGTGAGATTGACATTTAAGTTACATGACCATACCTTGGTCAGGTTTTAAATCAGCATTCTACTATTTTCTTCAAGAACTATAGAAGCATTTCTAAATTTTTTATGCCAGCACCATTTTAACTGAATAGGGATTATCTATTCTTTAATGTTTTCAAAGACTTAATTGAGGAAACTATAGTGTGAGCCCCTACTCTTTCTTAGGCATATTTATTGTATTCCCTAATTAGATGTAATACAGAAATATATAGCATTTAAACATTATAGACATGTATAGTTTAGAAAGTGAGAGACCTCCATATAGCATGTGGTGCCCTCCCCCCAAAGGTAACCCCACATTAGTGGTTTCATGCATATTCCTCGTTCTTTTCTGTGCATATTGTAAAAGTTTTACTTGGATAACATTACTGTGTCAAGATTTTATTTTACTTGAATATCTTCAATATTCGGATTTTTCTCCGGTTTAGCTTAAAGAGATTTATAAATGGCTGCAATGGAGTGTTCCATTTATAGATAGATGTACATACTGGTAGCCAGTTTTTCATTAACTAGAGCTTTTTTTTGAAGAGTTCTTATATATTTGCATTTAAAAAAGAACAAAAAAACTTTTCCCTTTGTTAGGCCAGCCTATCTAGTTAATTGGTTTCTCCTATCTACCTGCTCCTGAGGGTAGGTATGGAAATGAAGAAGAGAAAAGCTCCTAAGGAATAGTTCTTAATTTGTCATTTGTAGCATGTATTTTCTCTTTGATAATTTCTGGTTTTATCTTAAATCTCTTTTCTTAGTTTTAGTTTGTTGTTATTGCTATATATTTTTTACTGTGTACTCAAAGCTGTTGGCTTTTGTCTTAAGAGATATACTTCAGTCATAAAAGGGAATGTTGTTAATGCCCCATAGGGAGAGCTAGTTGATGTCATGTGTCAGTTTATGAGGAAAAAACATCCCTTTTAAGATTTTTTTTTTTTTGTCTTTTTTTTTTTCCGTGTCCGGCAATGGATCTCAACCCTCAGTGTCGCGCCCGTACCAGACCGGGACCGGCAACGGGATCGCAACCCTCGGCGTTGTGGCTGCACCTCGCTCAGCCAGCGAGCGGGAACCGGTCTGTACGTGGGATCCGAACCCTCGGCGGGAGCGCCACCACGCTCCCAAGCGGGGCACTGTAGCAGTGCGCCACCGGGCCGGCCCCCCAAGAATTTTTGTTTTTTTTGATATATTTTTCTTTTTCTTTTCTTTTTTTAAAAGATGACCGGTAAGGGGATCTTAACCCTTGACTTGGTGTTGTCAGCACCACGCTCTTCGAAGTGAGCGTACTGGCCATCCTACATGGGATCCAAACCCGTGGCCTTGGTATTATCAGCACCACACTCTTTTGAGTGAGCCACGGGCTGGCCCTTTGATTTTTCTAATCTCTTTTTAATATTCAAAGTTTTGGTGCAATTTTTAGATCCTAACCAGTTATCCTAAATCCTCTCATTGATCTGCTGTGTGGTCTGGTGGTTTTCATCCTTGCCAACGTACTCACCTCTCTTTACCTCAAAATGTTATCTCCTCCAGAAAGCCAGCCCTGATCAAACAGGGTGCAAAGGATGTTTTTTCCGAAAAGAATAACGTTGTCTGTATAGAAGTGTCATGTTTAGTTGGTATCATTCCCTTTCAATGGCATGATGATCGTAGCTTGTTAGAATTTTTACTGGAGTGCAGTTGTCCAATCTAACCTTCAAAGGACCGTCTTTGCATGCCACATGTGTCTGTGTGGTTGCAAGAAGGAGGCAGTTTGGGGAATGTTTATAAAGACCGCATTGTTCTTAACATTTATCTTTATCCTATACAAGTCCATAAAGGGAAACTGCTTTCAGGAGATGTCTATGCCAAAAATAAAAATGCAGCTCTAGCCCATGTTACAATGTTTTTGGTAACAGAGGTTTCATGCTACCTTTTTGTCTTTATTATGATACTACCCTTTCTTCTAACATCCTGTCTCATAGTGCCATTCACGGGCAAGTTCGTTCTTACAGAACTGTCTGCTGTCCAAATAACTTCATGAGTCATGCTTTGGCAAACTCCAGATTTGTTCCTCCTAACACTAGAATGTAGGGATCCTGCTTTCAGCATGATCTGAATTTTTCTCCTCAAAGCATAAAATTGTAAAAATCCTGGTTTTTAAAGAATTAAGTCTTTTGAAGACTTAAATTCATATTTCACTCTGGACTTAGATGGAGAGGTTACTGATTATTCTGTCCACATGTATACAAAGGAAGTTTAATGGAAATAATTTTTATCACCTTAGAATTAATTTAACAGATGGGCCAGCCCGGTGGCTCACTCGGGAGAGTGCGGTGCTGATAACACCAAGGCCCCGGGTTCGGATCCCATATAGGAATGGCCGGTTCGCTCACTGGCTGAGCGTGGTGCTGACATCACCAAGTCAAGGGTTAAGATCCCCTTACCGGTCATCTTTAAAAAAAAAAAAAAAAAAGAATTAATTTAACAGAGAGACTATGAATGTGAACATTCACCACACACACAATTTATTTTCATTACTTGGGCATGAGCTTTTGAACAGTGGATTTTGGGCTAGGTAAAAGAGTTAGTAGTTAATGAATTACTTGTAGTCTGGGGAAACTTGCCACCTTGTTTGAGAGCACCTCAAAGTCTTTTGAGGAGGAGGTGTGAAAACAAGAGGGAGAGGTATGCTTGTTTATTGAAGGCTCTCAAGTGGATAAAATTGCTGAAGAGAGCAAGTCATGTACCACCTGGGAATCAGGAGCCAGCGACTCACCTTAGCAGACAGTTGAAAACTATCAGGTGATGAAAGCATGCAGGTTTTGTAAAGTGTTCTCAGAAACCCGTCACAAGTTTGATACCTAGGCAAGCACTTAGGGCTTCAAGTAATTGGATTTCATCATTGAAAAAGAAGCAAGTTTCCTTACTCACTCTGAAGGTCAGTGTATTAGAGAAATGGAAATCTTTTAACAAACTAATCAAACATCCTGTCAGCAGTGTCATATAGGTATTGAATCTTTGGGATAATGAGTTGAGGAGCTGGGTTTTTATCAGATGCTGAATTGTGAGTTTTGTTTGGCTTTCACAGGTTCACCGGAACAGCACAATTCGCTCTGGCTGTGATGTGAATCCCTCTTGTGCACTGTGTGGTTCAGGCAGTGTGAACACCATGCCTCCTGAAATCCACTATGAAGCCCCTCTGTTGGAACGTCTTTCCCAGTTGGACTTTTGTGTTCACCCTGTTCTAGCATTTCCAGATGGTAAGAGAGACCTCAGAATGTAAAGTCTAATGAGTGAGTCTTAAGAGGGTTCCAGGTAAAAAGAAATCAGCCAAGGCCCCAGTGCAACTCAGATACTCTCAAGGTATCACTTTCTATCCACACAGTCTTCTCTTAGAATTTTGCAAAAGGGCTGCAGTAGACCCACCATACAAAATGTGTTACTAAAAGATTGCAGCTTGCTAAGAGGTTTTCCTCTTAACTCACCAAGTGAGTAGGAGTCTGTGGTCACTTGCCTCCAGCTATAAGTAACTAGGTCCATTATACCCTAGTATGTCTTTAATAAAAATGTATTGTCCATATATACCATGATGTAAATTAGGGTGGGCAGCACTATTTTAGGAGAATGTGCTTATATTGGGGTGTAGGTGGTTACATGACAGCTTTTCAGCATATGTATATAAGCATAGATCCTTATTTTAGCATGTACTATTTTTCTAAAGTAGACCTGCCAGATAAGCCTCTGTGTCTGCCAGTCTTCTTTTCCCACCTCCCCTTTTACAACTGCTCCTCTTCCACTTGACAAAAGAAAGGCATTCCTCTTGGCCATATCAAGTCTCACTCATTTTATATCCTGGGTCTTGCTCCAGGGTATTAAAACCTTGGACAGTGGGAACACCAAACAAAGGGACAATTTTTAAAGAGTTCAGAGCTCCTGAAGGAGAATCCCCTTAGGAATTAAGTAAAAAAGTGTTTTGAATTTTAAAAAAAATGAAGATGGAAATACCTTATTTTGTCTAGACTACAACTTAGGACAAGGTTCTGTGCCTGGTCTGCCTGTCTGTCTTAGAATAAATATTAAGAGAATTAATAACTGAAGTCAGACGTTGACTAAAGTCTGATTAGCTAAGTAGGCTTAAAAGGAAGATTTTTTTCCCTTCAATTAATGAAGCTAAATATATTTACATGCCAAAGATTTGATAAAAATATTTTTAAAGCATATGTAGTATTCTAAAAAATACAACCTTTACAGCTATTTGAATTTATGATTTTTTTTTTTTTTTGTCTTTTGTCTTTTTCCGTGTCCGGCAACGGATCGCAACCCTCAGTGTTGCCCCCGTACCGGGCCGGGGACCAGCAACGGGATTGCAACCCTCGGTGCTGCTCCCGTACCTCGCTCAGCCAGTGAGCGGGAACTGGTCTGTATGTGGGATCCGAACCCTCGGGAGGGAGCGCCGCTGCGCTTCCCAAGTGGCGCACTTATCCAGTGCGCCACCGGGCCGGCCCTGAATTTATGATTTTTTAAAAGTTACATTTCAAGTGGGAGTACATGAGCAAAAACATTTTGAAATCATGCTCAAGGTAGACTACAGAAAGCCAGTTATGAAAATCTGGAAGGGTTTTATTGATTTTCATGTAATCTCATAATGTTTCCAACCAAACTAAGAATTTCCTGCTGAATCACTGTGGTATTCT